TTTATAGTCATAGCAGCTTTCCCTTCCAAGTTAAGTTGTTTGGTGAGTAAGGAAGTTCTGTTGGTTCACAAACACATGCATTATTTCCTCTGAAGCCGATTTTCCTTGTAGCAATTGGTATTGTTTGTTGCTGCCTCTTTTGAAGTCTAATGAGGGTTTATGGGACAACCTTAGGTCTTAGAATATGGTCTTTTTCCTCCTCAAAGTATGAATTGGTGTAGACATAAATATACTATTGTTGGTTTGACTGTTTTGTATCTCTTGGGGGCCGACAAATAAATATCTTCTTCAGTTGGATTCCCTACTTCTTCATCAATTGAACCCCTGCTAGCATGCTTCTCCTTTATCTTGGGAACCACTTTTTCTTGTCTTGACTGCCACATAAAAAAATTAGCTAGATGAAGAAATGGTAAAATAGAACTAACAAAATTTAGTATAAGAAGTAATTACTTTGTCACAACTCTTAATGTTATGATTTGACTGTCCACAATTGCCACATGTCATTACTCTACCTTTCCTTCCAAAAGACCATTCCTCGTGCCTTTTAATAGCGTAATTTTTTTATCTACTTCTCTTCACCTTAGGCCTTCCAGCAAGTTTGACCATTTCTGGTGGTGTCATTGCTTGAGAAACGTCTATTTTTTAGAATTTTCTCCCTTTACAAGTTACAACTTATGCTTGTATGTTAGTAGAAATGCCTCCTTGCTATGGTACCAATGCATTTTAGTCAAGGGATCAATCTTCTTGTATTGCATGTGTGCATGAGATCCTAGTAAGGTCCCTTGACCTATAAGTGCACCTCTTCATCACTAGATTGACAATGTGTTTGTCAAATCCTTTTGATACCTCATATCTATGGTCTCCATTGCTCTGAACCTTACAACTGATATATGATATCTTCAAGTACTCATTATACAACTTCATCGATTAAGGACTGAATTCACCAGTCCATTTCACAAATGACTCTTCATGTTCTCTCAACAAATTCATTATTTTGACCCTAATAGTCTCCAACATCCTAATGATGGACTTGTACCTTGCTTCTAGTATCCAAGAATTGAAAAATTTAGTTAGATTGTTGTCAACTATCTGATTCTTGCATACTATGTCAAGGTAGGCTCTGCACCATATCTGGGGAGGATAATTCAACAGATCCTTGGCAGCAACTGCATCTAAATCATCTAACTCTTTCAGTTGGTCTCTGAACTCTTATTCATTAGTTGAGCATGCGCACCACCATAACAACTTCTTCAGTTCACCTTTACTCCATCTTCTGCACCAATTTGACTCAATATGTCTTACACAAAATCTATTATATGCTCCAAGAAGGACAATCTTCATAGCTTTATCAATCAGTCCTTACATATAACAAACAAACAACTAAAAAATTAAAGAATTCAATGATAAAATCAGCAAAGACAAAAAGCAAAGACACAACTGAAATCTCATACCTTTTGCATGTCTGAGATGGAGGTTATTCCTTCCCCACTTTGGAGTTCCAATGAATGCTTAAAAAGTTCCAAAAACCAGTTCCAAGTCATCTTAGTTTCCTTATCCATAATTGCCCAAGCTAAAAGGGTAGAAGTGGTTCATATTGTCATGACCAACTGTAACTAACAACTGTTTCTTAGCTTTTCCTTTGAGAAAAGTACCATCTAACCCAATAAAGGGTCTTAAACCTTACTTAAAACCCAACCTCAGTGCATTGAAGCAGATGTACATCCTACGAAATTTTATTCTACCCTGTAAAAGTGCCTCTTGAGACAGATTAATCACAACATCAGAGCCTGGATTGGATTCCTTCAATTCATTGGCATAAGCTTCCAGTTTGTTGTAACCATCATTAAAGCCCCGTTCTAATATTACAAGGACCATCCTTTTAGCCCTATTGCACTTTATTTCACTAGCATTTAAGTCAAAACCCCTTTTCAAATTAGCTCTCATTTCCTTAACCTTCATTTTTGGATTATCTTGTAACTCTCTCTTGAAATAGTGAGCTATGGTGGTGTAGTCTACCATACTATTATCAAATGTTGGCCCACAGTCTTCATGAGGCCTTGAGGTTTTAATTCTAACCCCAGGACTTCCCATCCGCAAATATATGACATACAAATAGGCACCTTTCATCAGCGCATTCATACCTTAACCTTTTTTTTATCACTTTTATATACTCTTAACTCCTTCTTGGTAGCCAGTAAATAAAGTTTAATTTATTTTCTTGCTTCTGGTATGTCTTTGAAAATAATTCCTTTAACTAAATCTTTGAAGTCATTCATAGATTTAGACAATTCTTTTTTCTTTTGTGTAGCAAACTCTAGTTCTTCAGAGTCATACTCTTAAGAATCATACACATGTTTAGACCCACTCTCACCCTCACTACAATATGTTCCAACTTCATTAATTCTAGATAAAAAATATTAAACATTTTGGAATATATTTGGAACATCTACAATTACCTCACATTTATCCACACCAAATATATCAATTGTACAGTATTCATCAGATACAAGAGACATTAACTTCCTAATACCATCATCCCTTACTATTTCATAATAAGTTCTAGAATGAGCAGTTACTATCAAGTGTTGAACATCTATAAAATCTAACTCAGAATAAACTCATTAACTATATCTTTAAAGGACAGGAAATCAGGATCATACCCTTCTAAAAATGAACTAGTTTTTTGTTGTATAGGAGGTGTGGTTCCTTGGTCCACTCATCGTCATAATTGAACCTCAAATCAACATTAACTATTTTAATAACCTAAAAAATAATTAAGTAAACAATATTAATAATCTGGATAATATTAAAAAGAAGAAAGCAGATTAAGAAAAAAATAACTAAAAATAAGGGACCACAAGAATAAACAAAACCAACAAGGGACCCCCACAATATAGATACATAGCAGTTAAGAATAAATAAACCAACAAGGGACCCCCTCCATAAAGATACATACAACTGCTTCAGAACCAATAGACCAACAAGGGACCGCATTATTGAACTGTGCAGATTAAAAATCTGAAAAGGAACCATATTTTCACGCACACCCGACATACAACATGCACAAGGGAACAAAGAACCCATTTTCCTACTTATGAAATAATTGTTTAATATAAAGGTGCCCAAAATAATAAACAAAACCGAAATGCATTAAACCCTAACTACCATTTTGGAACCACGTGGTAAAAGTACATGCATATAAAATAAACACCAAAGTGATACAATAAACAACAAAGTATATCAAAGAATAGACACATCCAGATACAGAAATTCACATATGTAAGAATATCCAAAAATCCTAGAGTCAATTGAGAGTGGTTTTAAAAAGGATACCATTAACCCAAAAATATTAAAATAACGACAAATGTAAGAGAAAACGACATAACTAGCCGAAGATTTTACCTGAAAAGGCTCGTGCATTACTAACATGCTGACATTATAGTGAGAGAGAAGATGGATTTGTTTTGGTTCATACGGGATGATAGATGAAAATGAGATATGATTGTGTGTGGGTCTAATTAATTATAAAGGTATTGGATCAGGTAATGGGGCGGTTCATGAAATATATGGGTTTATTTTGTTTGGAGTGGGGTTATTCGTTAAGGAGGTGACACGTGGCTCGCCGTTTAAAGTAGGGATATTTGTGACTGGAACTATAACGGCAGAGACTCTAGAGGCCAGATGGTGAAATAGATGTTTTTTATACAATATTTGAAAATAGATGTCACAAAGACAATGGACAAAACTACTATGAGATATACTAAATAAAGATTCAAAATAAAACTATAAACAACTAGATAACAATATAAAACAGGTGGGTATGCAACTAATTCGACAATGCAAGGGCAAACACTAAATAAAGATTCAAGAACAAAAATAGGCAGGCAAGAAGATACAATTAAGCTAAAATATCAAAATAACAAGACAAGAGAGAAACGATAAAACTTGGATCGCAGCCCTTGAAGTTAACGAAAATCTGACCAGCGGGATGGATCGCGATGAGCTGGCTGGAAGGGGCAGTCCAAGACATATGGGCCGATCGTTCTCAAGCCTCGATCACAAAGAGGAGACGCACGCGCCGACGCGTGACGGGACACGTCGGAAAATTGACTGATCTTGACGGACTTAGCCATTGTTATATCTCATCACTAACATAAATATTAGTGACATTGACTACACTTTTAACTCTGAAACAATCACTAACTTAAAATCACCTCAGATTTCTAAGATGGAAAAGTACAAGCTAACCGATATCGATTGCAGAGTTTGTTTAAAGCACTAGGTTGTAATCCACCGTTCTCATTTCTAGTTTATCGGTTTGTTTTCCTCATTTATTCAAATAACTCAAAATTCTACTTGAAGTTGGACAGAATTATATCCACACAAAAAATAAAAAAATAAAAGAAGCAAGACAAGGTTACAAAATCCTAGCAAAAGTGACTTGTGAGATATAAAAACAGTTTAAGAACTTTCGGCGTGATTATAAAAGTGTGATAATTAGGGAAAAATGGTTAAACACTTTGGCGAACCAATATCGATTGGAGAGTTTGTTTAAAGCACTAGGTTGTAATTCACCGTCCTCATTTCTAGTTTATCGGTTGGTTTTCCTCATTTATTCAAATAACTCAAAATTCTACTTGAAGTTGGACAGAATTATATCCATACAAAAAATTTTAAAATAAAAGAAGCAAGACAAGGTTACAAAATCCTAGCAAAAGTGACTTGTGAGATATAAAAACAGTTTAAGAACTTTCGCCGTGATTGTAACAGTGTGATAATTAGGGGAAATGGTTAAACACGTTGGCGAACTATAAAAACTGAAGGGTCTGACAAAAAGAGGAATGCGGTGAACGTGGATCGAACACGTGACCTTCAGATCTTCAGTCTGACGCTCTCCCATCTGAGCTATCCCCTCATCTTGTTGCAAAGGTCTTACTTATAATATAAATTACCTCAGTTTTCAACTAAGTTATTTAACGTGTTTTTCACGCATTCTTCTTATGATCTTATCTTTAAGGACAGAAAAATTCATCCATAGACGGGTCGGTTGTGAAGCAGAGAGATGGGGAAGGCTTTCAAAGAAGAATTTTCACACGGTGCTGTTTCAATCCTGTATCAAAATCCCAATATTTTTTTTTTATCAAACTGATTATTCTTACAATTTATTTCTTTTCTTATCGATTAAAATTAAACTGCAGATGAGAGACTCGCAGAATCACAAGATATAATCGCCAGATATCCTGATCGACTGCCGGTGTGTCTCTATACTTTTGTATTCAGCTTCCACTTTTTAGTTGACTTAAATCCCAAGGTTTTTTATCTATGATTTTTTCCCCATTGAACCACTATGTTTTGTACTTTTCTCTAATTTGATATTTGTTAGACAATTAGGTTAATGGGTAAATAGATGATCACTGGGTTTAAAGTTAAAATTTTAGCAGAAGAGACTAAATGCACATGAAGATCTAAAGTCAGTTCTGTTCTCAATTCATGTATGCCATATTATAGCTTGATTGTGCAAAAAATTATGTATATATTAGTGTTGTAGTAGCTAAATCGTAAGCTGCTTCTTCCAATTAGCTTTCCCATCTCATTTCATTCAAACAGTTTCCTAGCCTCATCCTCATTATCTCCAATTTTAGCCCCTAAAATTCCTCCAAAGTTTTGCATTTACTCGCAATGACTTTACAACAACAACAACATACCCAGTATATTCTCAAAAGTGGGATCTGAGGAGGGTAGTGTGTATACAGATCTTACCCGGCGAGGTAGAGAGGCTGCTCCGATAGACCCTCGGCTCGAGAAAAGGGAAGAAGATGAAGAAGAAAGAGGGAGAAGAAAGAAAGAAGAGGGAGACAAAGGACGATAAGGAAAAAGGGAGACAATAACAAGTAAAAGAAAAAGTACCATCAAATAGTAACAATCAGGAAAATATGATACACGAAGCAAACGAAAGAATAGGCAAATACTAGAGGTCAAAGAATACGAAAAAAACAAGAGCGCTACTAATACTACTAGAAAAGAACGGGGAACTTTCGACTACCTACTAGCCTTCTATCCTAATTCTCGACCTCGACACCCTTTTATCCTGGGTCATGTCCTCAGTGAGCTGAAGTAACGTCATGTCCTGCCTAATCACCTCTCCCCAATACTTCTTTGGCTTACTCACATGACTTTGATGTTAGTTAAAGGTATTAGTGTCACATTCTATCCTGGCAATGCTTTNTCTCCCCTTCTCTTTCCCCTTTCTTTGGAACAACTTTCTTTAGTGGTTGGCAGTTGTGAGAAGAGGCTTTTTCTAGGACCCTTCATCAGTAGACTTATTTAGTTTATAAGCTTCATGGTTCTTCCAAAGCAAATTCTGACTAATTTTATTCCAGCCAATAAGAGATGATGTCTACTTAAATTTTTAGGATAACCCTGATGCTTGATAATGTGGTTCTTGCTTCTTCTTTCTCTTTCACAAAATCGGACAAATATTGAGATGGATAATCACCTCAAGTTATCTATTGCCAAATAAAATTGTAGACGTGAATGAAGGTAGAATAGAGAGAGACTGGATGCTTATACTTCAACAATTTAAGGCTTTTCGAGAATTTTACAAGTGAAAATGATGACGATGAAGAGAAAGAAAGGACTTGATCAATTCAATCAAAAGTTAGTGGCAGACTTATGTGAGAATTAGAGGGAGAATATGATTAACATATTGATGGCGAAATGAAATATTACCCTATATGGAAGTACATACAGTTATGCTTGTCTGTAATTATATGTAAGATGGGTGTTGTGCCATTTATTGGCTTAGCATTAGGTTTTGGGTCTTTGTATATTATTTTCTACATAGGTTGTATCCTCGGATGCTTTCTTTAAAAAGTGTTACTTAAAAAAAAATTGAAAATTTTGCATTGTCCATGTGTTTCTTTCGGAACCACAAGGGTTGAAGTCCTATCTTATCAACCATTTGGAGTTTAAGTGATAATTACCTGTTGTTACGGCTTCTGTTGAATAATGCACACACCAAAGTTAGATTTGAACCCTTTGCATAAAAATAAACTATTTGTGAGTGACTGAGTGTTGCTTACAATTGCTATGACTTTTCCTATCCTGCTGACATACAGTATTTGGATGAGTGCTGTTCAGAATGAAACATACAAAACAACAAAAATATATTGGATTAACCGTTATGTTTTACCCTCTGGTGGTTGTTGAATGCTCCTTCATGCATAGTGCAGATTGTTGTCATGTCATGAATCTATTTGTTTTATATTTTTGCAGGTGGTGGTTGAAAGATATTCAAAGACTGACCTTCCTGAGATGGAAAAGAAGAAGTAAGCAACTATCATCCCGGTGTCATATTTCCTGCCAAAATCTAGTGTGATGTACTTTCTTATACTACTCATAAATGTGATGGTTCTGAATCTCCTCTTGAAACTTCTTATCCAGAAGAGCAAATGTAAATCTCTTTCTAAGCTTCCTAGTTTTGGATGAATTTCTTATGAATATTTAGTTACAACTAAAAATCTGAGGGCAGAGGGAAATAAAAATTTTAGATAAGGAGAGGGAAAAGTGAAGAAAATGCTTAGAGTTTCTTTCTTTCTAAAATTCTTACCCTTCTCAAAAAGAAAAAGAATGTAGTTTTTCCATAGAAGCACGTTCGTTCCTTTCCCTTATACCACCATACATATTCGTGTTGGAATGGTGCTCCACATTGTCCATAGATACTTTTTCATCTTACTCGAAAAGAAAAAGAATGTAGTTTTTCCATAGAAGCATGTTCGTTCCTTTCCCTTATACCACCATACATATTCGTGTTGGAATGGTGCTCCAAATTGTGTCCATAGATACTTTTTCATCTTACGATCCTCTCCAGCACCAAAAGAGGGTCTTTGACTTTCTGTGATATATCCAGTTTCACCCTAAAAATATAGAAACAAAATTCAGCAGTTGAATCGCAACCTAGTAACTCAATTTCAAAAAGAGTAATTATTGTTTTCAACCTCCTTTTACACATGCAGCATCTACTGCAAATTAAATCTGCATACCTCTTCTTTGTATATATTCTTGAGGAGACACGCTTCATTAACTATAACCTAAGTGAAGCATGCAGCCTTTTAGGGAGCTCTAGTTTCAGGGAATAGAAATAATCTCTTGTACATATAGTGTACCATCTCGGTACTTCTAATATATTTTTTTTACCTATATAGGGAGCTCTAGTTTCCCAACTAAATTTAATAGGCTATTGTGGGGCTAGTGCCAATTGCAACAGATAGGTTTGATAGCAAGACTTCGCATTAACTTGAACTGTCGGTATCAAAGAATCTGGAGGCTCTCACAATGTCTGCACATCTTCCAGGCCTTTCAAAAACTGGGTCATCCTTTCAATTTCCCAATCATAGCAGTGCCTTCAGAAGCTTACTTCCCATCCGTTCTGTCATCTACCTTGAGCTATTGGAACAGCTTTATGTAACGTAGAGCTGAACAAGTCTGGGAACTTCTCTTTTAGTGGACAATGTACTATCCAGGCTACCTGCCAACAAATGATTCTTCTACCATCCCCTGCCTTAAATAGTATTTTAGGGCTTCACATTTATTTGTATATGCAGTGAAAGCCCAATAACTGACTCTCCTCTGTAGGCCCTGTTTTGGAATTTGATTTTAGTTTCTTGAAGGGGTTGTAGTTTAATTCACGGTTGTACATATGGTTTCCTAACTTTGCTGAATGAACAGAGATAGAAAACCCAATCCCCTC